GGAGCAGTTTTAGATTTTATTTGACCCGTAGTTACACACGTTTTTAAAACAGCTGCTACAGAGTTACTAAAAACTTGTAGAGCTAGTTTACAGTTCATTTTTTGAAACGGTCCGGGATTCATATGGCTGTCGATGAGTTTAAAAAGGGCTCTACTGGTACTACTAGATTTATCTATGTTATAAGCTAATTTTATATCCGAAAAAGAAACTTCTTGACCTTTAAATTTAAAATTATTTTTTAAAAAATTATTTCGAAAATGTTTGATAATATGTGGTACATCGAAAATAGAAAAAAATGTATGTTGTTTTATTTCAATGAATGGTTTTTCTTTATTAAATCCTAAATGTTTTAAAGCTGAATAATTGTTAGAACCTTGGTCACAAACTAGTGCCACAGGATGAAAACCCAGTTCAATACATTTTTCAATAATATCTACTATTAAATCTTTTAATATCACACTATTCATTGATGAACCAGATAAAAAATAAGCTAAAGGTAATTTCCATGTACTATATAAACCTCGAACTAAAAAAACCATGGACTGTGTAGCCATTTTTTTTTGTTCTTCCTTTGTGCCCCAAATCCTCATAGCCTTCAACCATATCTAAATATTTTGAATATTCTAAAAACGATTTAATTTTCATCTCATCAAATACTATAACACAATACTTTTCCTCATTTGACATAGTATTTAATTTATTTTTAATTTGTTTTAGCCAAAGAGAATTAAAACCGGGACAAAATTTTGAATTTCCAATCCACCTACGTATAGTTGTCTCACTTGGTAAAATAATTTGTTGGTATTTCCTAAGATATTTGTATGTAGTTGCAGATTTATAATATACATTAATTGCAAAATTTTTTTCTGTTAATGTCCACGGTAACCTTGAATTATGTTTACGAAAAATTTGCATTTCTGCAATAACTTTAGAGCCTAAACTGGGAAATAACACTTCGTTCTTTAATTTACACAACTTGAATTTATTACGAGTCATTTGTATTTTCTTTTTCAATTTACAAATAGTGGACGATTTATTTTTTAACAAAATATTTTTTTTTTAAATTATTTCTTTTAAATTTTTTTTCGCTCGTTTCTAAACTATATTTGGTAGGAAAAAGAACTTTTTTTGCTTTATTTTTATATGTACTGATAGGAGAAGGCATATCTATAAACGTTTTAACCATTAAACTAGTTGATGGCGAACATTCAAAGTTTAAAATCGGTGAAGACGGAGATTTATTTAAAGTAGCCGGAAGATGTGGAGATTCAATTGGCGTTCTTTGAGATTTTTTTTTATACGTCTTCAGTGGTGTTTTTACGTGTAAGTTTGGAGATTCAGGACCATAATATTTTGGTTTGGCAATGCATTTACTAAAACATTAGTTACAGGAGATGTATTAAATTCGGATGAATCATATTTCATTGGAATTGCAGTTGATTTTAGTCGTTGCTGTGTGTTAATATTATTATAGTCCGTGGGTTTGAAATGAAAATGGCAAACATGACGGTTATTTAGTTGTTCGAAACTCAGATCAGCGAGTAAGATATTACTTAAGAATTAAAAAAAAACATCTTTAAATGACCGATTAAAGTTAGAATTTTTATAAAACTCGTCAAAATACGTATTAATTAATATCAATATAATTATATAAAAATAAAATCGGGAACTCGCTCTGTTGTACAGTAGGGGTAGAGGGTAGAGTGGACCTCGATTATAGAGTAGATCACTATTCACTATAATAGATGTGTTAATTAGAATACAATCGCAATTCGCAATGATAGGTGTACAATAAACCATTCTGAATGGAGAAGATTTGTCAGTCTATGGGATATTTTATTTATTTATTTTATATCTAAAACTGTTTAATAGTAATTCGTTAATTTACGCGTGAATTTTAGATTCTGAACGAAATGTATCTCACATTCTCACTGTCTCGGGATTAAATTATTATTAATTCTTAAATAATCAAAAATTAGTTAATCAATAGTTGCGCCAATGTCCTAGGGCCTAGGCTGACAGATTGTCTCCATTCAGATTCGTTTTTCATCGTATACAATGATTTATTATTGAACTCAAATTTAACACATCTATCACAGTAACAAACTCAATAACGAGGCCTACTCGACACAATTATAGCTGAGCTACGTCCCTGGTATTATTTTTCTAAAACCGAAATTATAGGAAAACGTTAGGTAGTGTTTTTGACGGATTTTATATAAATTTGAATTTCAAACGTCTAATTTAAATATATTTATAAAATCTTAAGTTATAAAAAATTATTCCGTAAAATAAACGTTTTCAAATTATTAATAATTACAACAATATAAATTAACTAACCTGATTGCTTAACCCATTCTTTTGCCCTGGTTTGATCTTTTGGGAATCGGAATAGTTTAAGATTATCTTGTGTTCTTTTACTTTTACCACAACCAAAAAACATACATTTGTTTCCTTTTGTTGTCATGATTAAATTGTGAACAATACAATAAAATTCAAGTGGAATAAATCAATAAAATAGGATTTAAAAATGTATGAGTGGTATCATAAGTTGCTGTTGTCACTGTCACATTATTTGTGAACGTGATCGGGAACTATAATTGTTTATAGATTCTAACTAATAACATAATAATAAATTGATTAAAAGTCGTAGTGTTTGGGATATTAATATAAAATTATACAATATAGATTTATTTTTAGACGCGCAGCCGGCAGACCGAGCCGATTGTGATCGAGCGGCATCGTGTTCTCTCGCTGGACAAAGTATATACGCATTATGATGAATGCCAAAATATAAACTTTGAAATTCTATATTGACAAAATAATTTGCGCTATCTGTAGACGTATTGTTCAATTAAATTATCGGTTTCCATATCGCCCATGCCAATGGGCTATCTATGTATATTTAATCTATGCCCAGTGTCGTATTTGAGGTGGGGGGGGGGGAAGGGCATTTAAAATACATTAGCACTGAGCTATTATTAAAAGTCAAATTTCATTATTATGCGTATTGCGTATTATGACTATTGACTAGGCAGTAGGCTTACTCGCCTATCATGCGTTCCTACCAAATATACGGTACCTAGTTTTGAAACTACAATAGTAACCGTTTCTAACATAGGTACCATGTTCTGTGTTACAATCACGGTCTTAGATTAGTTTACAATCATAGATAATAAAGAAAAATAGTTGTAATCAATATCAATTATCAATATTCTGTGATAACAGTTAATAATAATAGTAAATAATGTTCAGTCCTCAGTGTTCAACTGTTGTATAAATTTCGTATTATTTGTTTCGTAGTTTCGTACGTTAATATATCAAAATCAAATGTGCAGAAGCAACTAACCCGATGGGTGTTGAAAAAAGGTGCAAAACGTTCTGTTGATGTCATTGATGACAATTCAGAATTGAAATCTAAAAAAAATTGTACATCTGACAATAACAGTACAAATGTCAACTGTCCTCTGTTTTCAAATTCATTTTCTAATACAAAAGAATCATCAACAACATTCCCAATCAATAATGAGCAGACAGCCACTACAAGTAAAAATATTGATATAACTAGTGATATATACAGTGTAGACATAGGTAATTTTTTAAGGACATCTGATAGCTTATTAACTGATCATGTAAAGGCCAAAATTATCAATATGGATAACATACCTTCAAATGATTTTATTTATCCATTTACTTTGAATATCAGAAACAGTAAAAGTATTAAGAGATCATTGAGAAAAAATCATTTTGAACAATACAAATGGCTGACATATTCTAACTTAAAATCTGGTTTATTCTGCAAATATTGTGTTTTATTTATTGTCAAAGGTGGTAAGTATAACACAGTAACTTTAAAAAAATTTGTAACTGAACCACTTACTAAATTTTCAAACCTAACTGGGAAAGATGGAGACTTAGAGGTGCACAACAATAATAAGTATCATATAAATGCCATACAAATTGATGATGATTTTTTGAAAACTCTTATTAATCCAAAAAAAGATGTGATTAATTTAATAAACAATGAAAGATTATGTCAAGTTCTTGAAAATTGAAAAAGACTAAATAACCAATAATACAATCCATCTTATTCCTTGGTCGGCAAAATATACCATTTAGAGGGCATCGTGAAGAAGGTAATATTTTAGATGATAGTGTTTCCTCTGTTAACATGGACAATTTTCGTGAACTTCTAAAATATAGAATACTTGGTGGTGATTCTACTTTAGAAAATCATTTAACAACTACTCATTCAAAAGCAACATATATTAGACCTGTAGTCCAAAATGAATTGATAGATTGTTGTAAACAAATAATAACCCAACAAATTTTACATGAAGTAAAAGAATCAAAATATTAAAGTATTTTATTTGACGAAACTACTGATATGAGTCATGTTTCTCAAATGAGTCTTTTTTTTGAGATACATTTAGAAGGGTGTAATTCAAGAAAATTGTATTGCATTTATTGATTGTCACACTTATATGTATGGTAAAAATAAAACAGTTGATTCTAATGAACATAACATCCAAGATACTACTCATAATACTGTCATAGAACCAAAATTAACTGGTGAAATTTTGGCAATACTGTTCTTAAGATATTGAAACATTTTTCTTTAGACCCTCAATTCTGTGTTGGAGTAGGTACAGATGAATGTTCTGTAATGGTATCTTCTATCAGGGGAGCTATTAAAACAATACAATCAGTGGCTAAAAATGCTATACGTTGTCCTTGTGCTAATCATGCATTACATTTAGCCATTTCCAAATCATCAACAGTTCAAAGTATAAGAAATAGTGTTGGTCTTGTAAAAGAAATTGTTTCATTTTTTAATATGTCTGCAAAAAGAAACTTTGTTCTAAAATCAGTTTTAAATGGAAAACCTCGCTTAAAAAGTCTATGTGAAACGAGATGGACGGACCGCCATGACAGCATAGCAATTTTTAAATATTCAATGTCTGACTTAATAGAAGCCCTGACTAATATATCAGAATGAAATGAATTATAGATTCATTTCATTTTCAATTATAGATTCATCATCTAAAGCTAAAACTCTTTTAATAGCTATGTGTACATATGAATTTATAATTTCAATTAATGCCTTATCTAACATATTATGTGTAACAGCTCCTATAAGCAGAATACCTCAAGGCATTGATAATGATATATTAGCTGCATTTGAATGTATTCAAAATGTAGTAACTATTTTGAAAAATATGCGTACAAATTGTGATACAGTATTTAAGCAAATATTTGATGAGAGCTGTTCATTAATGAAAGACTTTGAAATTGAAGTAAAAACTCCAAGGTTATCTAAACGTCAAACTCAACGTTCTAATCACCCATCTGAAACTACAGAAGATTTTTATAGGGTGTCTCTATTTATACCATTGGTGGAAAATGTGTTAGAAGATTTTAAGTCACGGTTTTTAAGTAAACAAAACCAGACAGTAACAATTTTGAGTCAACTTATACCAAAATTTATTGTAGATGTAAATTATGAAAAGATTGACTCAATAGTATCAATAATGAAAAATGGTTATAGATTTGATGATGACTTATTAGAACTATTGGAAGAATCACAATTAAAATCAGAAATACAACTATGGAAAGAAAAGTGGAAATCAATAAAAAATGAAGGTAATAATAATTTACTATGAAATAATTATATTATGAAATTATAAGCTTTAATTGTGTTTCAGGTGGAGATGTAATAAAATATGCATTAACAGCTATTGTCCAATGTAATGGTATACTGTACCCAAATATTAAAAAAATGTTGTATACAATTGCATGCTTGCCTACTACTGTTGCCTTTGCTGAGCGTAGTTTTTCGACACTAGGAAGGTTTGATCCTTATTTCATTAAATTTAAACTAATGTTACACAAAATTTACATTTATTGTAATATTGTATTATACTAATGAGTTTAATCACTTTTATTAGCTTTACCACATATCACTGATAATTTTTAAGTATAATTTGAATTAATTATTCATAGTAAATTTCTTATCTGCTATAACTAGCTAATTTTACACTATGTCCAAATAGTGATTTGCTTATTGCTTATTTGCTTATGCATGATAATTTTATTATTTTGTTATGCTTTGCTTTTTCAACTTAAGTTAAAAACTTGGTTGCGGTCAAACATGGGGCAAGATCGCTTAGTTGGATTGGCTTTACTAAATATACACAGGAACAGGGACATACAAATAGATGAAGTTATTGATATGTTTGCTGCCACAAAAAAAAGAAATATTGACTTAATAATATAATTATTTTTTTTTAGTAATTGAACTACTTTAATATTGACTATTGATTATTTTATATTATTATATTATTTTTTAGGATTATAACTGTATACAAGTTAGAACCGTGTCTAACAACTAATAAAGCACCTATTGCATTCAAATTTCCTGATATTGCAACAGTGAGAGATTTTTGAATTTTGCCCCCCCTGAAAAATTATCCCAAATACGCCACTGTAGTTACCTATAAGTATGGTCACAGCTTCTTTACTTTTTAGCAAAACATTACCACTGTGTAAGAATTTACAGTCTGTAAATTATGATTTGACTCAGTTATCACTGAAAACATTAAAGTCAGTATCTACGACTAGATGGGCTTGCCGCGCCGAAGCTGTGACTGCTGTTAAAAAAAATTACGCACCACTATTAATTGCAATAGCTGAAATTTGTGACAATACTAGACAACCCGACGTAAGAGTCAAGGGGTTAGGAATCTTACACCAAATGAAAACATTTGAATTTATGTTTTCTATGCAGATCTTAGATCCTATTTTAAATTTGGTGTTAAAGGTAAGCACATACTTGCAATCTCCAGATTTAAATTTGTTGACAGTTGTTAAAATAAAAAATATACTTTATACAATTAAAGTTTAAAATAATTATTATGTTATTATATTTTCAATAAATTATCTTATAATGGTCAATAATAAAATGACTTCCTGCGAAATCCATTTTAAACAATTTGTCAATAGATGTGGCCATTTGGAAACTTTGTTCTAAAAACCGTCTTTTCATATTGAAAATCACTGTGTCTAATATGGGGAAAAAAACAGTTGTTTTCCAATATATCTTTTCATCAATTATTCTATTGTTTTCCTCAGCTCTACTTGCAATTTTAACACCAAAACTTTTGAGAAACGTAGGCTCTTTTTTTTGTCTCTTCGGTCCATCTTTACGAGTGGAAATATTATGTTTATCGCAAAATATTATGACACCATCCCAAATCTCATTAAAATGGCAAGATGATCGATTAGTTTCTAAAGTACTTATAATTCCTTTAACTAAATTAGCAGAATTTCCTAATGTGGCCGATTTTGCTTGAAGCTAAGTTGGTATTACATGACGGTTCTGTCCCGATTTTTACAATTACGGGGAGATTAAAAAACGTTTGTCCACGACTTTTCCTCTTGAACGTTCAGATTTGTGGGTGCTTTCTATCCAAGTTTTTACTATTACTGGATAATTTAAAAACGATTAGCAGTTTCACAACCAATGATTTCATATGCCTGTGAAGATAGCTCCGTCCTACTTAGCTCCTTTAGCACTGTTAAGATAATGGTTTATACCAGACATATTAAGTTGCATTTACTCAATTTCTAATTTGTAATAACACGAAATTTCAATCAAATGAAAAAAACAATGAAGTTGGCTCATAAAAAAAGGTTTTATACAAAACTCAATTTTTTTTACCCCTATTTTAAGAGCAAATATGTTTCAGCAATTAAAACATAATAATACATTCTTTGATTGTGGAATAACTAATACTGTATTAAAAAATAAATTTATTATACCTCTATAAAAAACTGGTGATACAAATTGTAGAAATTACAGGCCTATTTCTTTATCACCAACACTATAAAGCCTTTAAAAATTTTTTGAAAATCAGAATTCTAAATTATTTAACTATAAACATGATTATTCTCAAGTTTTCAATTTGGATTACTACCAGGAAAATCAACTATGGATCCTCTGCTGATACTTTATATATTTTTTAATGAGAACCTAGATTATATTAATAAAGTGATGAGCATCTTTTTTGTATTTAAAAAATCTTTTGATTCGGTTAATAATGATATTTTAATTTAAAAAAACTCGATTATGCTGGTATTAGGGGTCTACAATTAAACTTTTCAAATCTTACTTAAGTAGTAGAACGCAGATTGTAAGATTAAGTGGTGTTCTTATTGATTCTGTGAATATCACACATGGACATGTTGTGTCAAAAGGAACTGTTTTAGAGCCTATCTTATTTTTTATTTATATAAATAGTCTACCTACTTAATTTAAATGATGACTCAAACATTTCCTGTTATGCTGATGATACCACCATATTATTATTACTATTACTAGTGATAATTATAATGATTTGAATAGGAAACCAAATTCTCTATAATATTGTATTAAAGTATGGTTAGATATTCGTATGTTGATGCTCACTATATTTAAATATTTTACTTTAAATCAAAACTTTCAGCTCAAATTACATCTTTTTGATTGTAACTTTAACTCTTGAGGCAGCATCAATTGTAAATCTGATGTCTTGGAAAAAGTAGTAGTATAAAAATATCTGGATATTACATTAGATTACAAATTAAAATGGGCATGTCATATTAATAATTTAATCTCCAATGTACTTATTTTTTTCTTTTTTTTAAGATGTTAAACGGTACTTTTAATATAAATATGAAGTGAATAATTTACATTGCTTTGGTACAATCAATTTTTAATTATGGAATAATGTTCTGGGGTTGTGCTTATAAATCACATCTTGAAAAACTAAAAGTTACAATAAATAGCATTATAAGATTTTCATTGAGCAAACCTAAATCCTTTAATACTAATCTTATTTTTAATGAACTTGATGTACAATACTTTGATAAATATTTTTTACTAACTAATGTATTATTGCTTTTATATAAACATAAACATCTTTTGACCAATGTGAATCATTCTTATATTACCAGATATAAATACAATATAAATATTGTTTTTAGTGGTACCTAATACAATTTTTGGTTCAAAAAGTAAATTAATCGTAGGAGCATATTTATGTAAGAAATTGAACATTAATTTATTTAATTTCATAACAGTTAAGGAGTTAAAATATTTTTTTGTATAATCTAGACATTGACAATATTTGAACTAATATTTATATTTGCTTAAATTATTTTTATTTAATGTTTATTAATTCTTTTAGTAGTATTATATTCTTTCTGTCACTTATTTTAACATAATAAAACGTATATATAACTTATAAACTAAACTCTACTCTCCCAATACAAGTTACGTCTACAAGGAGTGTTGTATACCTACTGCTTATTTTTTTTATCTTATTATGTTTATTGTAAATCTATTTTGAAAAATAAAAATTATTTTTATAATTATTATTTATTAAGCTTTATTGATGTATTATATTTATTATAAAAATTACATATCTACCTGACCAAAATAATTTTAAAATCATCTTAATATCACTTATGAAACTTGGAAATACATTTATGTTAAAAATATGAAAGTAAATAAAATAGTATGTACAAATATTTAAATTCATTTGCGTAGTTAAAAACCGGAGCATTTTACAATATAATTCATTTTTATTTATTAATTCTTCCTTGAATCACCATTCAATCTTCAACATGCTAAGAAGTTAAAAAAAATTATCATTTAACATTTAATAAAAATAATATGTATATGTTACGGTCAATGACGAAAACTGAACATTTACGTTATTAACCGGTCATTAACGTTAGAAGCCAAGTTGCTAGGTTATTTTCGTAAACTACCGGGCAATAACGTCAGTTTCCAAGATAATAGACTATTGTTGTAAATTACAAAACAAAATAAAACAATTTTACCTCAATGACCGAATATTAACGTTATTAACCATTGACTGTTGGTAAATTACGTAAATTACTGAAAATACACATTAATTTAATTAATTACAGACTACAGTTATTAATATTTATCTTATAATTTTTTTTATTATTAATTATATATTATATTTATTATTTATTTTCGCAAGGCATGCTGTTGTGACATTTTGAATTGCACAATATTCCCGCTAATCGACAAATGCATTTGTTTGTTCTGCACTTTAGTTTGCAATTACACCTTCTGTAACCTTGTGGTCCAGTGACACTACTAAAACCTGCAGCTTCTCTAAGCGTAATTTCTTTTTCGGTATTTACAGATACCAAATCAACAAAACATTCTTTGCAGGGATCGATCTGCGATCGAGTATACAAATGTTTAATTATGCCGTTCTCTGTACCTAATTAAAGATAAGCATATTTTATAAATTCAAATAAATATATCTAAATAATATAGGTAATTATAATTTTATAAGTACCTAATTTATATAAATCATCTTCAACCTGGGTAATAACTGCTAATAGGTTTCGTGGTGATCCACGTGCTCGATCAACATCAGGTATTCCAACTTTAACTGTGGTACCAACTTCTAGTGGACTAAATTTCTTATTTGAAATAGTCATCATTTTTTTGGCTTGTTTCTTTAAGCATTCACTTGATTTATGTCGTTCATTCTGTATTTTCTCATGACGTTGGCAATGCATGCATTTTGTACTTTCATTGTCAGCTTCCAGGAAAATAAAACATGTTTCACATTTTCTTAGGTTCGTATCTAATATGTTTAAATAATATGTTATTTTCATAAAATTTAAAATTTAAAATATAATATTAATTTACCTGTATCTATCATATTTTCTTGCTGTTCTGAAATTGGTGAAATAACTTCTTCAATATTTTGTTTTGAATCATGTAATCCAATTTCTTGCATTTGATTAAACAATTTTTCTATATCTTCTTCTGTTTTTAATGAATTTATTTCATCATTTGGTAGACCAATCGATAATAGTCCTGTTCTGGCAGTACAGCCAAACATGGCTTCATAAGGAGATCTTCCAATACCTTAAAACAAGTTTTAAAAAAAAACCTATTATTATAATTACCATAAAATAACCATAGTTGAGCCTAGAACAATTATAGAACCCTAATACTTTTTAACACATTAATACACTATCATACTAATTATAATAAATAACTGTACTGTTATTGATATCGATTAGAATAAAACATACATATTAGGTATATTAAGATAATTATGTCGGGTTGAATGAAAAATTAATTATTTTAATAAATTATACTAAATACTTTTTTTTTACCTGAATGAAGAGCTCGGTTTTTCTGAAACTGAATAAATTTCAAACCAGAGGGCCAATCCGTACTATTGTTTTCTGCCATCCACGTAGCCAACATATCCTCTACATCTCTATTTGCTCGTTCCACAGAACCTTGGCTCTGACTGTGCCTTGGTTTACCATGAACAATTTTGACGTCTTCCCACATATTGTGTAGTTCAGTTATAGTCGAATTTACGAACTCACGGCCATTATCTGACTGCAAAATAGCTGGTGCACCAAAGGTCGTGTAAATGTCAAGTAAATTATATGCTATCTCCTCTGCACGTTTACTTTTTAAAGGCCTTAAAATTACGAATTTCGTTAAATGGTCTTGATAACAAAAAATAAACCGAAAATCGTTAAAATTTTGGGATTGCATATCTATTAAATCTACTTGTGCTCTTGAGTTAAAAGCATTGTGTAATATTGGTTTGGAAACCATTCCTCTTTTTCTATTAGTAGATTTCTTTTGGCAGTGTGAACAAAGTTGTAAATATAGCATAATTGATTCCTTAGTTATATTGCAATACTTATTTTTTATTTCCGCAACCATTCGATTTCTCCCACCATGTCCAATAGACGAATGAGTAGTATGAAGAATATCAAAAAGTTCTTCATTTGTTACATAATAAAGCATAGAATTATTATTTTCTGATACTGGTTTTATCAAGCGTTCTTTTCCATTGACTATTAATATTTCATACTTACGAACCATCCTGTAATCTTTTACCGATTTTTTCAATCCCTTAGTATTTAATATTTTTTTCGACTCTTTAACTTTGGAAATTTGCTCACTATACTCCGATAAACTAAAATAAGAATTATTGTCAGTCCGTTTTTGACTAATCAACTTATTAAATAAATCGTTGAATTTACTACGCATAGTATCTACATCCATACTTAATATTTTTTACGTGAATAAAAAATTAATATTTAAAAATGCAATGACACGTGAACTGTCTAACTGCGAAATGTCGAACTGGTGAACTGCTAATAAAGCGATGTCAAACGAATACGATGTCTGCAACAATACTGAAATAGCTAAAATACGTTATAGGAAAAAAATCCAATAAAACAAATTACCTACCTTTGATAATTTGTTAGATAACCACCAGCTGCAGTGTATTAATATTTAATATTATTATGGTTTGCTCGACTGCTCGAGTAACTATCGCTGATTATCATTTAACGAGTGTAGATAGCTAACTAAAAGTGACCTGTATGTTATAAATGTATAAATAATGAATAATTTACAACAACGTCCAGCAGGAGTTGGGAATTTACGTGAATAATAAAATAACACCCGTGTTTACAACAATAACCATTATGTGTCGCCACTTACGTAAATTACCGGTCATTTATGTAAATTTGTATTATACAAGGTAATTTTCGACATTGGCCGGGCTATAACGTAAATATCCTCATTTTCGTCATTGACCGTAACATATACACTACTGTTTAAAATTCTGTACATTATGATTATTTGCACATATTTTTGATATAATTAAAATTATACCTTACATAACTACTGTGATTACTGTTTTGTAGTTTTATTTATTATTTATTATAATATAAATACTATTAATATGATATTATGACATATTATGGCATATACAGTCTCAATTACTTAGTTGTGCCAATGCAAATTTCCAAATCCACCCATGAGGTATTTAGATTCGTTTCTTTTAAGTTTTTTAAAGCGGTAAAAAGATCCCCTGTAGGCCTAAAAACCCGCATTTCTTTTTTTTTTACAGCTGTACTTTATAACACACACATATTATGCATAATCAACATATTTAATACAAACATAGCTCAATCATGATACCTAATTATTATTAGCTATTATACTGCTTATAGAGTCATTATAGACATATTCTTCTGAAAATTAAATAGAATAAAATAGAATATGAATGCCTTACTTTTCCTCAAAATTAATTGAGTGGAATTATTGTAAACGCTTTAATGAACTCTTTTATATAAGTCGCTCAAAGTTGGACAAATCAATTTTTAATTAGTCAAAAACTATACAAAAATAATTTGAACTTTAAATATGAGTTATTTAAGAAAAAATACAATTACTGTCATAATGTAAAATTGATACTTATACATAGATGATTTTAATATTTATTTGATAAATTTAAAGTTTCATCCAACTTAAGTCGTTTTCTATTTAAAATAAAAAATAGTTTTAATAATTGATGACACTTATTCCTCAAAACTTATTCACTTATTCGAGTGGAATTTAAAAACATGAGTCGTCACAATAACATAATTTTTTTAATAAATTTTGATGCTCATATTTCCTCAATATAAATTGAGTGGAATTTAAAAATAAAAGAGTCATCGCTTTAAATGTGATATTTATAATTAATAAAATACACCAAATTTATGTAAAAAACGTATGAACTTTTTAAAACAGATATTTATTATGTTTATAAGAATTTATTTAAGATAGTTGGACATTGATTTAAGCACATTCCACAAACCCAATCTGAGTTTTCAAATTCTTTTTGGTCAATTTTTGGTAAACATGAGTTATGCAGCCATTTAGTACGAGACCCACACTGAACCATTGTACTAACGACTTCACAATTATAATTTTGTTTAAAACTTCCTTCGTCTGTCCCAAAAATTAAGCAAATGTTCTTCACACACTTTGAACTTGATAGTATCAAGTCCTGTAAGTTTGAGCGATAACTGTTTGGATTTAAAACATTTATTATTCTTTTATTACTCATTAATTGATTTGCAAAGTACAACATAAATACACCACAGTTAAACCCATCATCTTGATATGGTATTTGGACAAACATATCTTTCCATTTGTTGATATCACCTACATTTTGCTTTGGTTTCCATATTTTAGGCACACCACATAAAACATTCAGAACTCTGTCCTTCCAGTAATTTATCATCACAATATTTTTATGCACGCTTTCTATAGAATTTAAATAACTCACTGTTTTTTTTATAAAATCTACATAGATCAAAGTCCAATGGTCTTTTTCCAGCAAAGGTATTAATAATCTTGATGAATCAATCCATTCAGGTCTGCTAGCTGTAGAATCTTTAACACTTCTACCAAGATTGAACATATAGTAAGATTGCTCTGGGCACACACAGCCTAATTGCTGTTTCTTCTTAGTGATCCAAGACCTTGAATTTCTCTCTAAAAATATCTGTAATAAACACCATATTTCTTTATCATGTAACCAAAGCATACTAGTATCACCTTTAGTGTTTAAAGTCGAAAAATCTAAAGAAGATATTTCTATCTCTTCGTTTTCAAAAGAAATTTGCGATACCACATATTTGTCAACTCCACGATAAGACTTCATGTAATACATTGGATCTTTCACCAATTTGTTCGTTCGGTATAAGTTATAATTTGCTGTTGGAGACTTATCAGTGGACGATTCCCATACAACTGATAGAATTTGGGTAGTCGAAGCCACAGGTGAAGCATTAACAACCGTTTTATCTATATTCTCAATCACTCTTGGACTTGTACTATTTTCTCTTATTAATAGACAATCCTGATCACTGACGTAACTGAGGTTATCAAGTAATTGCTACCTATAATTATTAGTATTGTGCGATTCGCAATCCCGAATGGTCGTTGTCGTTACAGTGTACATTTAAATATAGGACAGTGCACTATGTTAATTAAGGCAACCAAAAAAACAAATTTCGGATTTACGTGAGGATAAAAATTTCTATGAATTACATGGACAGTCATTGATAATTGCACAAAATGCAAACGTATCTACACCATCAAATAATGATTTTTCTTCAAATAGGATGTCTCAAGGCTCAAGTAGAATAACAGATTATTACATAACTTCTACTACTGGTTAAAGACGTATTTTTTCAAATGATGAAAAAAAAACTGAACTTAAAATAATATTTTATAATATTTTAGATGCCATATGTGTTGAAATGAACAGGCGATTTGATGAAAATGGTGAATTTTATGCAGTTTTAGGTGTGTTAGACCAAACTTCAAAAGAATTTTTAGACTGTGAAACACTGTAATTTTTCAAAAACTTTTCCATTTTATCGGTCTCATTAAACTAAAACATCAATGTGCTTTAGGGAAAACATTATTTTCATCTAGTGCTGGTCTTTATGAACTGTTGAATGAAGTACAAAGTTATAAAGTTGGATTTGAAGAATTAAAAAAAGTAATTGAACTTATTGTTGTAGTTCCTGTATCTAGTGCTTCTGCTGAAAGAAAAGCTTTTCAACAATGAGAAGAGTGAAAACATACCTCAGATCAACTATGAAAAGTTCTAGACTAAATGATTTGACATTACTTTCCATAGAAAGGGAAACTATGTATATATTTATAATTGTATTTTGTAAAAATATTAGTATTTAGGTACTTAAATAAAAATTGCAACTTTTGAAACTATATGCTTATTTTTTGGTTCAATTTTTGTTTTAATTTTTAAGTAATTAATTATTCATTTATTTACAAGAATAATCATTGAAAACTTTGAAATTATAGTAGGCTAGTAAAAAAAATCATTAAAAGTCCCCATTGCCGCCGGTGAGTAAAAGTTTTATAGTGGGCCTACCCAAAAAAAAGTCCTAGCTACGCCCCTGTTGAAAATACCTCTAGATTAATTAATCTTAAGTTATTTATAATAGAATTTCAAAACTGCCCCAAGTTAGTTAACTAGTTATTTAATTTTCTTATTAACTTATGAACTTAACTAGTTTAATTGAAAGTTAATTAACTTAACTTTGCTCAGATTATTTAAAAATAATCCATCAAGTTATATTATTTTTAATTTTTGTTGTTAAGGTGTTATGCTTGAAATATTAATACTAAAATAAAAATAATCCAATACTATAATATTATACAAACATTTCTGTTATTTTTTTGATAAAAGAATCGTGTTAATGGGTATATTTAATTCGATTAGATAGGCATAATAGTATATGGATTTAAATTTCTATTTGATAAAACAAATTTATATTTATTAAATTATTAATAAGGGTGTGTTGGTATAGTTTAATATTTAATAAACATGTAAAGTAAAAAAGGTATTTACACTGTACATTACATCAAAAGTTCAATAAAATTGTTTATTATAATTTTGGATATTAGAAATAACGCTGTCACTCTTTATGCGATCAACATACTAGGTAATTAAAAAATGTAGATCAACTTTTTTTAAACTAAGTTAAGTTAATATTTTTTTCCATATTAACTTTTATCTTATCGAGTTAAATTAATAATTTATTAACTGTTAACTTTTAACTTATCGATATTGTGTCCTCTTAACTTGACTTGAGTTAATTATTTTCATTAATTTGGCCCCCCCCCCCTTTTTGCAATTTTCATGTTTGTCTTCTCTAATATAATCAGGGCATAGACACTGTGTGTAATGGCAAAATCTGGTGACTGTGGCTTTGAACACGGTATCTAGGAGGGCGTAAAACGCGTTATCACTTAAATAAATCATATTATCATTATTATCACACAAAAATTATAATAGTAGCATTGGTCATTGCGTGGTTTGGTTGTTTCCGTTTTTATAATTCCGTAACTTAGAGGGATACACGTTGCTAACATTCTATCAGATTACGGATACGGTACAATTTCCAATACTTCAACCGTAGGGATACAGTAACCCGATCAGCTGATCGAGTGTCTATTCTATATTGTTCTGTGATATAATCTCTCTAATAATTATAAGTAATTCATGCAAACAAGAAATTTCAGTTTATACTGTCAAAATAATTTGGTGTTTGATAAATGGTTTATAAATATATCTTTTTAATAATATTTTATGAAGGTATACTATAAATACTTAAGTGGACGTTACACCGACACATTTGTTGTCTCCATCTTACAAGTTCCTAACATCTATTAGTTTAAAAATTAGAATACATTGATGTCTTGTAAAATGTAAAGGTAAGATTATTAGGTACCTAGGACATCTCATAGACTTTTTGTTGTTTTTTAATTTTAAATCGAGTTATGAGTATTTTAAAATTGTATATTGTTTGTACATCTTTAAATAATTATACTCGCTTTAAAATTAAAATATAATAAAAACCCTATGAGACGCCCTAGATGATAATATTACCTTTAAATTTTAAAAAGAGGTCAATTCAATCTAGTTTTTAAACTAACAGAGCTAAACGTTATCTGTTGAGAGTACAATTTGGTATGTAAGGCACTTGTTAGATGGAGACAATAAATGTGTCGGAGTATCAACCTTTACATTCTAGCACCAAAATGTATATTGTTCATTAACATATATTATTTAGTATTATGCTATTGTTATTACTTGTATTACACAAATCGCTTATTTTTATTTATATTATAATTGTTGTTCTTTTAGTAGGTATTTAAGAATAATATTTTGTAAGTTATTTAATTGTGTTCTGTATCATATTTAGATTATTTTTTAATTATTAATATTTTGTTTAAGATTTTAACTTATATATTTTTCTTTTCAACATTATTTATTAAATTTATATTGTTAGTTATTAGAATATTTATTACTAGTATATTAGAGGTCATAACTTTTGATAAATAAAACTATATAAGCTAACAATATCTATATAAATTATTTTTGTGATGATTTAATTTAACTATTGTTAATAAAATGTTCAACTTTTTAAGACAAATTAATAGAGTAATAAACCAAAAAAATGAAATGCAGTATAAATAGTTATATATATATAAATATATTAAGCAAATTTAAATAAGTTTATGTATACCTTTTTATATTTAGTTTTCCGTCTTCAAATATATGATTCCATTCATCTTTTGGAATTATAAAGTCCCCTTCTTTGAAGGTACATTCATAATATTCTCCTTTAACTTTTAGAGGAGACACATTCTTAGAACCTCATGGTAAAAGCTCCCCAAGGCTTTAATTAAAATGTTTATCATTTAAACGTTTTAACGGACTCTTTATCGGACTAATAAATTTGTCTCTCGTTTTACCAGTGTTTCTGAGTAAATCAATTGAACTATTACATTCAAACAATGCAGTTCCAGTTATATTATCATGGAATAATTTTCTTCCAGAAGTTCCTGCAAAATTTCTTTGAGTAGGAGTTACAAACACAAAATTTGACTCTTTAGGACTTTTTTCCAACAATACAGTGTCATTAGAAGTGTCCAACATATTCTCTACTCTGGATGAATAGATATATGCAACTTTCATAATATCCTCATTTCTCTGTATCAACCTAAAATTGTATAAAGTTTCATCAACAACAGATAACTGTTCTACATTGGAACACACATTACCTTTTTCTTAGGAGTATTTTCATCTATAATTAAATTTTCCACCTGTGATATTTTTCCCTTAATATCGCTGTTGCATTTGTGTGTTGATAGTTGATCATTAACACATTCCACGATATCAATAACTTCATTTCGTTTTGTAGGAGTGATAAATTCATCAACAATCGACTCCTCGAGATTTTGTTTCAACAATAAAGATCCATGATCAGTCATCTCCTTTACTGTTATACTTGTCTCCCTAAACTTAGAACTTGACAAGAAATCATCACCAACAGACACCTGCCCAATATTTTCATATAACATTACCTTTTCAACTGGTGTTTTTACCTTTTTACTGTCCTGTTTAAAATTATGACGCAAAGCTGAAGTTACTTTATAATGATTTTTCAATGCTTGCACTTTCCATTTATCGGCATTCCATACCAGTCCTAACCTCTTGCAAATTTCAATTACAATTTCAGAATCTATGAGCTTCACTTCAAATGGTACTGCCCTCACTTTGCTAGTGATTTTTTTTTTCTGGTTCAAACTGATTGTATAATTCCAATATATTATTCCTCCTGTCTACTAGTATCTGAAATCAAATATAGTGTTTATTATTATATACTAAAACTGATGTACAAAATATGGTGGACATGGTGCCACTATCACAGTCCTATCAAGAAGTTAAGCTATTTAGGATAGGAGCATTTTATTATTTATGGAATTATCCCTAAACAACGTACATGTTAATTTGCATGTTGCAAAGTTGGAATTTGGGAGTTCAATTTTGTCGTTTTATTTTTATAGTAACTACATAACATTTAACTCAGTTTCAAATAAGTACAGAGTATAGACTTACGTGTGGCTACAATTTTTTGACCCTTCAAACTGCCAATAAATAAGTGTAGCTACATAGGTACTAAACAATTTATAAATAATACATTCTCAAACAGAACATTTAATATATAAAATATTAAATAACGGATATATTGAATTGTGGAACGCGATGCCGTTATTGTGATAATACTTCCAAATTCTAGCAGTTATAATACAAATTGATTTATCACTGCATACGGTATACCTAGGTAAACCTTAAAATGTTTAGACACCGCAGTGTCACATAATGTAAACTTTACCATCATAAAGATAAAATATGAAATAACCAACATTTAATAAATCGATGACAGGATAACGCATAAATTGTTACTTATAGGTAACCTTAAAGGTTACTTATAAACATAGAAAAAATGATTCTGCGTAAATGCGGTTTGTTCATGTCGCGCATTGGCCTGGGAGAGAAAACATAGTGCGCTGACATCCTATTAAACAAAATGAAGTTTTAAATTATATTACCTTCTTTATTCATATATCAATAATAGTTTACATTATTAATAAAAAGTTATTTTTCAGTATTATTCATTTAAAATTATTAAAAATGTCTTGAAGAATTTTTTTATGAAAAAGAAAATCGAAATGATTTTGTTTCCGTTTAGTAAATTTGTGGTCCGATTTATTTTCCGAAATAAATTAAAACGGACTTTTTTTCTGACTCTTTTTTGGCGATAGAAGTCGGTAATAACTAATAATTAATAACCTTAGATTATTTAATTATTATGAGTCACTAGTGATGTTCAGACTAGAATTTAGAAATTTTATATTTAAGAAATTTCTATAATTTAAAAATTAAAATGTATTTTTTGATAGAACTCTTTTTTTTTACTTAGGACGAGTAAAAATTAGAAATATTCATTGGATTTTGAATATATTTTATAGGCTATAGCATAAATGCATTATTAAAATTAAACCGCACAAATTGATTGTATATTAATTTAAATATAATTAATAAGTGTTAATCATAATATTTTTAATATTTGTGCAGTTGTATAGGTGGCATTCGCAGTATTGCTATTTTATATTTTTATCACAATACAATTAATGTAAATAAAAATGTCCTAGTCACATCAGTAGTGATGACTATTACATTTTTCAATAATTATGCTAAATATTAAATTCGTATGTTTCCTTGTAACAAATAGCATTAGTATTAATTATAATATAACCAATTCAAATGTCAATATTTGAACTTTAAATGCTTATTAAAAAAAATAGTGACTTATGATTTTTAATATTTTTTATCTACCTTTGAAACAACATATTAGGAGCCTTGTATTAAATTTTCAAGATTTTTTACCCAACAAATAAAATTTTATAGACATCTATAGAAAAAAAAAAATAAAAAAATCGAAAACTTAAAATGTCCGTAAACAGCTCAAAATAATAGTCAAAATATTTTGAAAATGGTATGGTGTGTAGAAAATGGTAATATAAACATTCAGTCAAAATGTTATGTTTCTACGGTAATTTCTTTAACCCTTTCAAGCCCGAATTTATAATTTTTGAATAAAATTTTTTTTTTTGCTTGAACCTTACTTCTAATAGCTAAATTAAGGGAAAATTATCAAAAAAAAAATTTTTTTTAAATACATCTTTCTAAAAAATGTATGATGTATAAATGAATCATTGGGCGTCAATGACAAATTTTGCAACATTGCCCCTTACTAATAGGCAAATTATTTAACTTATAAAAATTATAATTCTATTTTACATAAGATGTTATTATAACAACTTTTTTTTCTTTTGTTTAGTTAAAAACAATAATATTATAATAAGAAATGAATAATTAAAATGAAAAATATTATAGACCATAAAATGAAAACCATGATTAAATTATCAACTTTGATGATAGTCAACATTACAATTTATTTTCACAATGTATTTCCTTTTGTTTAATTAACAATTTTAATTTAAACAATATACAATATAAAAATAAAAATGAAAAACAATTTAAACAATGAAATGAAAAACATAATACAATTATCAACTTTGATGATAGCCAACATAACAATTTCTTTAAAAAATTATAATTTATACAATATAAATAATAAAAATGAAAAACAATTTAAATAATTAAATGCAAAACATAATAAAATTATCAACTTTGATGATAGCCAACATAACAATTTCTTTTAAAAATTATAATTTTAACAATATACACTATAAATAATAAAAATTAAAAACAATTTAATTAATAAAATGAATTAGGAACTTTGATAAAATCCAACAAAACAATTTCTATTCAACGTATAACACAAGAAAACATTGCATTTTGAGCATGATGTTGTTGTATATGCTTTAATGCAATGCTTACAGCGTTGTCGTTTGGATACTTCAACTGGTATTGGCCAATGCCCTACTTGGTCATACCGAACCTCATCTACTGGTCGTTGAGCAAAAAGCCTTCTTTTTTTACTGGATGGTGATGGTGTTTTAGAAGGTCTTCCTCGTTTTGAAGAAGGTTTAACTTTTCCAGCAAGGAGTAAACTATAAGCAATATCCATTTTGAATTTTAAAAGAGGCATACATTTGTTTTGTTTTATTTGAGCGCAATGTCTTCGATATAACAGCCAAGAATTAACAACACACATGTCAACAATATGAAAAATTATACGTAAATAATATCTTCGAACGCGAATATCAGTTCTATACAACTCAACGAGCATGTCGTGCAAGTCAACACCACCCATAAACCTGTTGTACTCTTTAATTGATGCTGGTCTAGGTACAACAACTCTTTCTTTTTTGCTGTAGACCATCTTTCCACTTCATCTAATGGTTGAATGCCTTTATAATTGGAAACAACATGGACAAATTTATTATCATACCACTTAGTAGCAACAATTTTATTAGTAGTGTCAACTTTGGTGTCATATGTTCCACGACCTGATTTCTTCATGTCTTTCTCATTTTTAAATGTGCAACCTGACAGTCGATTTGTTCGAACTGTACCAATACCCAACATCCCAGAAAATTTTAAGTGACATTGTAAATTGTACGAATTGAACCAATTATCAGTTGCTACTTTATAGTTCTTAAATTTAGGTACAGTTTCTAATAAACGTATAACAATATCACCACTAATACCTAAGCCCGATCCTGTTGCAGGCAGTGTACCTTTACCCACATAAATTTCGAAGTCGTGTATAAAACCACTAATAGATGCAATGGCGAAAACTTTTATACCCCATTTATGGGGTTTATTTTGATTGTATTGCTTCATTTGAGATCGTCCTTTAAATGGAATTATAATTTCATCGATTGCACAAAATTCATCAGCTTGAATTTTCTTAAAATTGTTTTGAACAGAACTAATGAACGGTCTTATTTTAAACAATTTATCATGCAATGGATTGTCTCTGGGAAGCATTAAATCATTGTCAGATATGTGAAAATTAGTTCGAAGATTGTCAAACCGATTCCGTGACATAGTTTCAAAAACAGGATTAAATCTAGTTCGGTTTGACCAGAACATACGGTATGAAGGCATTTTTACAATACTCATGAACAAATATATGCCAAGAAACTGTTCCATTTCTTGTGGTGTGGTATTTAAACTAAATCCATTATTTTGAGCAGAATATAAATTAGTCTGTTCACTTAAATTTTTTATAATAGCATCATCTATAATCATTTTGAAATAAGAATATGGATATTTTAAACTATCAGGGGGATCAGGTAATTTATCAAGCCATGTAACATCTTCTTCAATCCAATCAGTATCTTCCCATTTTGGATCTCTAATAGGTATAGTCTCATCAAAACCATTTCCAAAAACTTCAGGAGGAATTTGTAAATCAATATCATCATCATTGTTATTTGTACTTACTGTACCTTCTGAAAATCCAAATACCTCATCAATTAAATTGCTTTCTAAGGCTTCATCAAGCATATCCAAAGTGATTTCATCGTTATTTTCAGTTTGGTTCATATTTGTTACCTATATAAGAAATAAGAAATTAATCTAATGCATATATTTCAGTATAAGACATACAGTAAATAATATATTATAATTGAAAAGTACATATAATATAAAGAAAATAATTACATTTAATTATTTTTAAATTTACTCAATTTATAGTATTATATCCATAAATAGTAGATGTACTAATACATATACCTACATAAAAGGTTTTAGATGAATACTATAAAATATAATAATATATTATTTATTGACCTATTTTAGATCAAAAATATTATATAAATGCAATACCTATACAAACAAACAAAAAAAAAATATATATATATGTAAAGAAAAATATACTTTCTTTTAATCATGCTTTTAAATATTACTATTATCACTTTATCATAATCAAACATTGATAAGATGATAAAGTGATAACATTGTAAATTGATAATAATAATATATAAGAATTTCTTTAAGATTGTTAACCAAACAAATTAATTTTAAGATTGTTTTTTAAATTATTAATAATAATTAAGAGTGACAATAGTAACGTAAATTGTTGTTTCTTTTGTTTTCACAGGTAAATTTGTAATTTTGTAAATAATGTAAATAATAAGTAATAAATAACTTTTGTTTTCACAGAGAAACCAAGCGTTTACTATTATCCAATGAAAAAACCAATAACACCATTATAAAACAACAATTTTTGTTTATGACGTCGAAATTACAGTTTGAATTTACGGTAGTAGCTTCACCAAAAGATACAAAAACAAACGTAGTTGCCATAACCTCAATTATTACAGATGATGGAAAAAGGTATATATTGCCAGAAGAACATAGATATATGGGAAGTCATTTAGAATTGAAAAAATCACACTATTACACAAAACTAATTAATTCATTAAAGAACAGAAATCAGGTAAGAAAAGTGTGGATAACAATAACAAAAGAATTAGAGGGGATTTACATTGACGAAGATGGTAATCTACAATTTAAAGACCAATACTTAGAGGAAATAAGAAGAGTGCTCTAGATTTCAAATAGATGAAAAGGAGGATAAAATTGAATTATTAAAATCATTCTTGGACAAACCGAGTTTAGATTGGTACTCTTCTACACTCATAAGATTAACAGTAAATGCTGGTTGGTCAGAATGGAAAAAAAGATTTTTAGAATGCTTTACAGATAATGGATGGAATAATGTTACTTACGCACTATCATTTAAATATCGAGAAGGTTCTTTAACTGATTATGCTATGAAAAAAGAAAAACTTTTAATAGATTTTAATAAAGATATGGATATTAAATCACTTATAGCGTTGATAGCAGTAGGGTTACCAGAATTTATTTTGAACAAAATTGATAAATCAGAATTAAAAGAAACAACAGACTTATTTAATAATTTGAGACAGCTCGAATGTCAAGTAAAAAAAAATTCTAAAAAAACATTCACATTAGACAATCAAAGAAATATCAAATATGAAGAAAAGAAACCTTGTAAGATATGTGAAGATTTGGGTAAAGGTGCAAGATACCACCCTAATGAAAAATGTTGGTTTAAGAGGAATGAAGAAAACAGAGAAAAAAACATTACAACAAGAAAGGTAAATAACAATTCTATCTTAGATTTAGAAGTTTATGATAGATCAAAAAACGAATAAACACACCACTAATTAAATTAAACATTCTATTAGAAGATAAAATAAAAATAGAAGGGATTTATGACTCAGGATCACAAGTTTCATTGATTAATAAAAAATTAATAAAAACTATAAATAACAATAAAGATAAGAACAAAATACAATTAAAAACAATTAGTGGTGTGTCAGTTACAAAAGGATTAACAAGGATAAAATTAAAAATTTTCAACATTGAAAAAAAAGTAGATGTGTTTATTGTAGAAAATGAAAACTTTCATGATTTTTTGATAGGCTTAGATATAATAAAAGAATTTAAATTAAGACAAGATGAAAATCTAATTATAAGCCAAAAACAATTGCAAAATGCAGATATGATAGAAATAAATTTTAATGAACATATTACAGAAAACAATTTTAAAATAGATTTAAACCATTTAGATTATAAGAAAAAAATTAAAATAGAACAACTTATAGAAGATTATAAAACAATATTTGCCAAAGATAAATATGATGTAGGAACTCTAAAAGACTATGAAGCAAGAATAGATCTCAGAGTAGATAAATATTGTAGTAAGAGACCTTATAGATGTACAATCGAGGACAAAAAAGAAATAGAACAGCAAGTGGCAAAACTATTAGAGGAAAATTTAATTGAGGAGTCATACAGTCCATTTGCTGCACCAGTGACTCTAGCATTAAAAAAAGGTGAAGGAAAGACTAGATTATGCATTGATTTTAGAGACTTAAATAAAATTGTGACACCCCAAGCTCAACCTTTTCCACTAATTGATGACCTAATAATTAAAACTAGAAACTGTAAATATTTTACATCACTGGATATCAATTCAGCATTTTGGTCATTACCATTAAGGATAGAAGATAGAAATAAAACAGGCTTTATAACTCAAGAAGGACATTATCAATGGACTTGCCTACCATTCGGCCTAAAAACAGCACCAGCAATTTTCCAAAGAATTTTATCTAGTATACTAAGAAAAAATAGTCTTAAGAACTTCACAGAAAATTATATAGATGATATTTTAATATTTTCAGAAACTTTTGAAGATCATATCATTCATATAAAACAAGTTTTAGAGGCCATAATAAAAGAAGGGTTTAGATTGAAATTAAGAAAATGCATGTTTGCATCCGAGTCAATCAAATATCTCGGACATATTATTGAAAATAATACAGTAAGACCAATCAAGGACAACTTGGTATCAATATATAATTTTCCTACCCCAAAAACGCAGAAAAACATCAGACAGTTTCTTGGTAAAATAAACTTTTATCACGAATACATTCCGAAAATCTCAACAATACTAGAACCATTACATAGACTATTGAGAAAAGATATAAAATTCAACTGGTCTGTAGATTGTGAAAAATCATTTACAGAAATAAAAAAACTATTATGTTCTCAACCAGTGCTAGAAATATTCGACAAAGACTTACCAATTAAAATATTTACAGATGCTTCAATAGAAGGTATTGGTGCAATACTAAAACAAACACAACAAAATGGAGAGGAAAAACCAGTGGCCTATTTTTCAAGAAAATTAAATGAGACGCAAAAAAAAAAAGGCTATCTACTTAGAATGCTTAGCAATAAAAGAAGCGATAAAATATTGGGAATACTGGTTAATTGGAAGAAAATTTGAAGTGTATTCAGACCATAAACTATTGGAAAACTTAAACATAAAAGCTAGAACAGACGAAGAGTTAGGAGACCTAACATATTATCTATCCCAATTTGATTTCAATATTAAATACATACCAGATAAACTCAATACTGAAGCAGACTGTCTTAGTAGGAACCCAGTAATAGAATCAGTAGATAATACTGAAGAAACATTAAGGATAGTAAATACAATCAAAATCCAAGAAATAAAAAAGGTCAAGATGAAAATATTGCATTAAAAGAACTTAAGAAAAAAATAATAGACGAACATGGTATAATTTATAAACAAAATAAGAATAAAAAGAAGATAGTATTATCAGAGAAGTTGAGTATTGAATTAATAAGAAATACACATATAAATTGGTGTCATATTGGTACAAACCAACTGAAAAACAGAATATGCCCATACTATTCTTCAAAAAGATTAATAGAAAACATACAAAAAATATGCAAAACATGCGACATTTGTAAGAGAAATAAATCTAGAGGTCAAGCAAAATATGGAATGATGTCACAATTAGGACCAGCAACAAAGCCATTTGAGATAGTATCGATCAATTGGTGGGTTTGGTGGTCAAAGATCAACAAAAAGATACCTTCATCTTCTAGTTCATCACTTTACCAGATACGCATTCATACATACTTCAAAAACCCAAGCTGCAAACGATTTTATAAAAATAGTTCAAAACACACTAGAAATAAACAAGATAGGTACAATATTAACAGATCAATATTGATACGGTGCATCCAAATGGACGGCCCGTATCGTAAATAAATAGGACAGTGGGTTTGTTTTGGCAATCAAAGGTCTCTATTTCTATTATACAAAATACATATATTCATATATAACATTGTGTCTGAGTACAGCGTTGATTTGTGTGGACGGTGCGTGTTCCGTGNTTATCATACCACTTAGTAGCAACAATTTTATTAGTAGTGTCAACTTTGGTGTCATATGTTCCACGACCTGATTTCTTCATGTCTTTCTCATTTTTAAATGTGCAACCTGACAGTCGATTTGTTCGAACTGTACCAATACCCAACATCCCAGAAAATTTTAAGTGACATTGTAAATTGTACGAATTGAACCAATTATCAGTTGCTACTTTATAGTTCTTAAATTTAGGTACAGTTTCTAATAAACGTATAACAATATCACCACTAATACCTAAGCCCGATCCTGTTGCAGGCAGTGTACCTTTACCCACATAAATTTCGAAGTCGTGTATAAAACCACTAATAGATGCAATGGCGAAAACTTTTATACCCCATTTATGGGGTTTATTTTGATTGTATTGCTTCATTTGAGATCGTCCTTTAAATGGAATTATAATTTCATCGATTGCACAAAATTCATCAGCTTGAATTTTCTTAAAATTGTTTTGAACAGAACTAATGAACGGTCTTATTTTAAACAATTTATCATGCAATGGATTGTCTCTGGGAAGCATTAAATCATTGTCAGATATGTGAAAATTAGTTCGAAGATTGTCAAACCGATTCCGTGACATAGTTTCAAAAACAGGATTAAATCTAGTTCGGTTTGACCAGAACATACGGTATGAAGGCATTTTTACAATACTCATGAACAAATATATGCCAAGAAACTGTTCCATTTCTTGTGGTGTGGTATTTAAACTAAATCCATTATTTTGAGCAGAATATAAATTAGTCTGTTCACTTAAATTTTTTATAATAGCATCATCTATAATCATTTTGAAATAAGAATATGGATATTTTAAACTATCAGGGGGATCAGGTAATTTATCAAGCCATGTAACATCTTCTTCAATCCAATCAGTATCTTCCCATTTTGGATCTCTAATAGGTATAGTCTCATCAAAACCATTTCCAAAAACTTCAGGAGGAATTTGTAAATCAATATCATCATCATTGTTATTTGTACTTACTGTACCTTCTGAAAATCCAAATACCTCATCAATTAAATTGCTTTCTAAGGCTTCATCAAGCATATCCAAAGTGATTTCATCGTTATTTTCAGTTTGGTTCATATTTGTTACCTATATAAGAAATAAGAAATTAATCTAATGCATATATTTCAGTATAAGACATACAGTAAATAATATATTATAATTGAAAAGTACATATAATATAAAGAAAATAATTACATTTAATTATTTTTAAATTTACTCAATTTATAGTATTATATCCATAAATAGTAGATGTACTAATACATATACCTACATAAAAGGTTTTAGATGAATACTATAAAATATAATAATATATTATTTATTGACCTATTTTAGATCAAAAATATTATATAAATGCAATACCTATACAAACAAACAAAAAAAAAATATATATATATGTAAAGAAAAATATACTTTCTTTTAAACATGCTTTTAAATATTACTATTATCACTTTATCATAATCAAACATTGATAAGATGATAAAGTGATAACATTGTAAATTGATAATAATAATATATAAGAATTTCTTTAAGATTGTTAACCAAACAAATTAATTTTAAGATTGTTTTTTAAATTATTAATAATAATTAAGAGTGACAATAGTAACGTAAATTGTTGTTTCTTTTGTTTTCACAGGTAAATTTGTAATTTTGTAAATAATGTAAATAATAAGTAATAAATAACTTTTGTTTTCACAGAGAAACCAAGCGTTTACTATTATCCAATGAAAAAACCAATAACACCATTATATATATATAATAATATTTGAGTATCTCTATTCAAAGATGTGCAAACTAGTCAACAATTGAAAGCTAAGTTAAAAAGTTAATTTATTTTAACTTTTCAACTTCTTTAGTTAGTTAATTTTCTTATTGACTTGATAACTTAGCTAGTTAAAGAAATTGTTTTGTTGGGATTCATCAAAGTTCCAAATTGTATTATGGTTTTCATTTTTATTATTTATAATCTTATAGTTTAACTGTCTAAAGGTTGACTAAACATTACTAATTAAAGTTAATTTTTATTCACTAACTTAACCTCTTTTGAGTCTGTTTACAAAAAAAAAATTAAAAAATGGATTACTTCATCATGGAAATTTTGTTCAACAACATTAAAAAATTCATCCAAATTATCATCTTCGTCTTCTTCATTTAACTCTTCAATATCAGACACATCACCCACAAGCAGCTCAGCAATTTGTTCATCGTTTAAATAATTCATTTTAAACTAGAAAAAAATATTTTTAGTAAAATAAATTGATGATGCATAAAAGTATCATTGGGCGTCTACGTAATAGTAAACATAAAACGATATAATTCATATATGCCTATTGATAATTTTTTGAGTCATATGATATAAGACCTTGTAAAAATCGTAAACATAAACTAAATTATATGTTTATAATATTTTCTGATAGATAAACAACTAATTGAAACGGAAATATTTTTTTTTCTAATGTATTATTAAAATTACTTACCTTAAAATGTGTCCAAAGTTTCAAAATCTGGGACGCTGGGTGTTTTGAATAATGAGTGATAAGAAATTATTGTTTTCGAGGGAAAATCAAATCATACACTAAATAACAGTGTTGCCAGTTATAAGTAATAATATTACTTTATTTAATTATGCAACTCACAATAATCCATGGTTATCACAGAAAAACAGAAAAATTGCTAAATGTCATGATGTATAAAATCATCACTGGGCTGGAAAGGGTTAAGAGTTATACCAAAAACCAAAATCGATTTTGTCGAAATTCGAGTTTGCGTAAAAATTGCCGTTTTTCCTTGATTTTTCCCGGCGCTTTTGAAAACTACTGGGGTATTTTTACTTTTGACCCCCCCCCCCTCCCCAAGTACCTACTAGATTCACTTTCCTATCAGAAAAGGTACTGACGTACTGTTGAACAAAATCGAAGCATTTTTACTGTACTAAGAGACACAAAAATTAAAATTAAATTAAAAAATTTAAAAAATACATCTTTGTAAAACCAATGTAGTCCAGTCAAATTAGACAAAAAACCTACAAAGATTGGAACTAATTCCTCGAAAGCTGAATTTTGGTACACAATCAGTCCATAGCTTACTGATTGACATACTAAAAGTCCCCAGACATACCCCTTGTGCATAGCTCTCCATCCTTTAAAAAGGTGGTGCGTACCCTCTTTTCAATTTTACACTATAACTTGTTTAATTTTAGACTTACGGCTAAAAAGTATAGAACAAAAATTAAAGGCCGTACAATTGTCCATAGAAATATGTCATTTTGTATACTTAA